TGATATATTCACAGACTATGTAAATTCGCTGTTCAAATTTATATATCCAAAGTTTCGTTCCACATCTTCGAAATTCGACCGCATCATTCACTGTGGCTTCGTCGATGCTTGATTTCATCCTAAAACCACTTCCAGATATTGCTTCCACAAGAGAGAAAGACGGTTTTGTTTCCATGACTTATTGGGTATTCGGAAATTGTGTACAAGTAAGTTCCGTCCTCGATTTCGTCCAAGTTAGTTCATATTTCATAAATGAATCCATGAAACTCCCGTTTATATTTAATTACTAGCTGTCTGGTGGTTCCGCATCAATTTGGAAAGAAATAGGACATGCTGTGGATTTGGCTCAGACTGAGGTATCAGATGACATAATTTCAATCTCGTTATCAAATCACGAAATCGAGTGCAAATTTCCACACAGGAAAGTGCAATATTTCAATCATTTTGCTCAGGACAGTGATTGGAACAGGTACCGTTCGATAAACTACAATGTTTTCACATGCCTTTGGGACATATATCACTTTCTCCCACTTCGAGAGTATCATTGGAAGTGAAAAAGGATCCTGTATATGTGAACAATTATGTACTGTTCTAAGAGAGTTATGTATTTCATTATCTTCTTCTAAAGAATAACAGATCAAGAACTCAACACACCACAGCTCAGAGCGCGGCACACAAACTGAGAATCTTCACGAATATGATATAGCAGTTGTTCAGAAAGGCACTTGCACGACTTGAAATTTTAATTGGTAGTGGTCGAATAATATATCGTTCAGTTGTCCGAACCGAGAAAATATGTATAACCATAAGTGAGCTGTCACCTGCACCAATAGACTTGATAGATTGTCTTCATCGATGAATTCTCTCAGAGCAAGTGCTTTAGTCTCAGAAAAATAATTTAAATAATGGTGAGTATTCATTAATCTAGCACTAGTTTAGTGTTCACTTATAATCAGCGACCTCAAAATACAGATAGATTTCGTTAATACCAACAAGTGTCACTTACATCAGAAACATTGTTTCAGAAATATTGTTTTGCTTACTTCAAGTACCCCCTTTTCCTACCGTTGCTGGAAATGTTCTTGTCACAATCACACTTTTGTATATAATATGGTTGAATTTTTTCATAATCACATAACCTACCACCTCCTTCCGTACATGCGTCGGTGAACCAAACACCCTGTACCTAGTCATTCTTTATCTTTCATTTCGACCTACTTTCTGTGAGAAAAGGTCAAGAATTGATTGGCGTTGATTTTGTGAGGTTTTTTAATGGTTCTTTCCCAATTGCTCCCCTGCTAAGGCATTTAAGTATGAACATATTTCTTGGTGTAATAAATCATTTCTACATCTTGTTCACTGAAAAAAAGGATCCTTTCATTCAAAGAAATACGGACTTCATTCAAAGAAACTGTGATCTTAGATATGGCGAATGTTGACTTCAAAAACCATCAGATTTCTCTTGCTATGAGATGTCAGAATATCTTACTGTAAAGAAATAACTATTTTTCTCAGGAATAGGTACCTAATTTGTCCCAAGTACTCGATTTCTCCAAATTTATTGGCTGAAGAAACATATTCCATTCCATTGAATTCTCAGATACTCAGCAAAAGATTCCAGATTATTCATTGTAGATTATCATGCCTTCAGTGTCAATAAGGAGTTTTTTCCTCCAAGAACAAGGACCTTGACAAGATTATAAAGTTATTAGTTATTATATTCAAAATTCCTGGAATTTATTTTAGATTCAAGATTCTTGCTTTGAATCCGAGAAAAGGGTTTCTAGAATTGAGAGCTTGTTCATTTGATTCAAAGTATACTATCCCAAAAAAAACTTTAGTTTACTTTTTACCGAGAACATTTATTGTCATAATAATTGTGGACGTGAAAAATAATAACAACTGAATAAATATACAAAATAAACGCAATATAACAATACACATAGGTACTTGATTACAAAAATATCTAACTTGACGTAAAATATATTCAAAATGCAACAAACCAGAGGCCTCTGGTGCTTTCATTTTCACTTTGATTCCTTTTTCCTGTCGGATGATGTCGCCTATCTTACATTCAATCAGGTCCTTAATCTGATCTTCTTTCGGAAATGGCAGGAATTTTCTATGATTTGATCTGAAAATAAAAATGATTAATTTAATCTGAGAGTTCGATACAATGAAGATTTACTATAATGTACATAGGTCTTACGCAGCTTGCAATTCCTGATTCATATTTTTTGTAAAAGTGGAATAGTTTATTGCCACCTCATCTCAGGCTTTGTTTTATGAACACAAAAGCATTATTTTTCACTGAATTGAATGAAAAGCTGACGAAACTAGCTTCCTGCTCTTGGATCAAGTAAATTATTCTACTGAATCAGGAATGTCCATTCAATATGGAAAGAAACAAGTTATCGTGGAAATAGACGCCATCGAACGATTTCATCATGCTTAATTTTTCCTTCCATATATAAAACTTGGTATAACACAAACGATGAAAATCTTCTTATTAAATGAGAGTAGGTTATTCTTCAAACTTCATTATGAGTATTGGTAAATGATTTATTATTGAAATGCAAAAAAACTTGAAAATACATACTAACTCATCATTATTTACATACCTCAAATGTTTCCAACTAGTTGATGAAACTATCTTTTGAATTGATTACTGATGACCCTCGAATACACACAATATCAGAAACAGCACAAAATATGCAAAATGGCACTGACACGTACATTTTTTACACTACGGAGTAGGTACTGATGGACTCCCAACTGTAAGGCTTCGTTCGCTACTCGAAGTGTCTTATCGAGGGCACTGTATATCGCCCGAATTTTTCATGAGATTCTCGCATATTTTTTTTTACGTTCTGGTTCCCACGAAAAGGGATATATATCCTGTAATGTTCAGAGAACATGGTGAGAACCAAGGGAAATAAGGTAGGAATTGGTGTTCTTCTTAAATTTATTAAATAAATGAATGACCGAGTCTTCAGAAAGAGATGTTCTGCAGGTCTCCAAAGTGACCACGAAGGGGTGCGAAGCCTCAACTCGACGGATTAATCTCGCGGGGACTGATGCCAAGGAAGGAACAATTGTTGATATATCGAAAGAGAAAATATTTATGAATAGTTATTTATGATACAAGGGAAAAAAGTAGTAGATTTTAGCTCCAGATTGTGTTGTCTTCCGACGCGTAGCGGAGAGAGACAAAAAACCGTGAGCTAAAATCAACTATTTTTCCCGTGTATAATAGGTACGCTATTTTTTTCTGTGACAGAAGAAAGGACGAATCAATATTGAGAAGATATTACATCATTTTGAAAGTAATCAAATATCTGATATGTCACTTCTGTCAGTCTAATTCTGTGATTTGATTTTAAAAAATTGCGAATTTAGTGGTTGTTCAGTAATATATACGTATCCGCGAAGTCGAATGAAAGATAAAAGGACTTGCAGTTCTTTCTCGGAGACGGTCTTATTGACTCATTTTTCGGAACTATAGCACAACAAAAGCCATCAACAGTGCATATATATGTGATATATATCCGGAAAAAAAGTACTCACTTTTTTTCCACGGGAAAAAAGTAATTTATGAAAAGTGACATTTTATAACCTGCCAACAGAGATGAAATGCCAAACTTTTTTCCCGTTACAGAAAAAACAAATTTATGATTCTTGTTCCAAGTAGCAAGAGCTAAGTAATTGTTGAATGGGACAATGTACCTGTTTAGAGAAAATTATCCCAATTGGAAGGAATTTCATTCAAGAGGAATTTTTCTCCATCCAAGATATTTACTCTGTGTATAAGAAAATTCATATCATGATCACAGAATACCTCGACACAAGCAGTGCTGTTTTTTCAGTGTTGAAATAAATGTCTTGCCTTTGAAAACCTGTACTTACAACGAAGTATAATTACTGAAGAAAAATTGACCAGTTCACATTTTCCTTTACAACTCTGCTCGACATCCATGTCAATAACTCAAATTCAGCTTTCCTCTTTTCTCTCTATTCCAAGCGTGAAACAATTTCATTTCCGTCTTTGCCTTGATGACATGTGTGCAACTAATGACCCTCAAAGGGAAAATTCCTGGATCCTGCAACGTTAGAGAGACCTTTGATGGGCAATTATTATAGCCAGCTATAAGCTGAACTCAACGATTTTCTGGCAGGATGACCCAATTTCTGTACATAAAGGCATTCAGGATTTGATTTGGAGAGGGGTTTTATTCATATGGAGGTTAAATGTTACCTTTGTTTTTTGGCGGGTTTGTGAATATATAAGTAATAATAATAATAATAATAATAAATGGGCTTTATTCATCGATAATTAATAATTTATAAGAACAAGAGATCTACAAATTATAATGATGCTCGATGAAAAGGCGAAGTTCAGCTTGCGCTGGTTTACAACTTAACTATGTAAGGTATAATATAAACATATTAATATATGAGTGAATATAATTCAATATACACATACAAGTACATATACGACGATAAAATATTCACATATTCAATACGAATACAAATAGGAAGCTCACAAAAAAAAAATCAGACAAGGCGTTGTTATCATCCAATCTATCCTGCTTTGAGGTATTCTTTCAACCTTTTCTTGAAATTCAGCAATGAGTCGTTTTTGAAGTGATTAGGAAGAGAGTTATACTGCTTGATCGAGTTATACATGAAGCTACGTGTGAAACAAACTGATGAATGCTTTGGAATGATGAAGGTGTCACGGTTACGTGTATATGCCACGATTATCCAGTGTTTTCAAATCATAACAAATCAATTGAATTTTTTGTTTGCTTCAGGAAACCCAATATATTTAGTTGTTAGTTGACGAGAGGACAGACCAAGAAGAAGACTGGTATTTTATACAGGGTGTTTCAAATTGGAAATATTTCAACCATAGAATCCCGAACTCAAAATATGAAGATTTCCAAAATTCGGTGCCTACCTACTTAATTTGAATTTGGGATTGAATTTTATGTTTTCAGTTCTTCTCTATAGAGCTCCCGAGCTGCTACGTATCCAAGATAGTCTTTCCAAGGACCAGCCCTGGGGCACTCAGAAGGGTGACGTTTACTCTTTCGGGATCATCCTGTACGAGTTGCACAGCAGGCACGGCCCCTACGGGGATATCAAGATGACGTGTGCGGAAATTTTGAATAGGGTTATTCTCTGTGCCAACCCTTCAACGCCCTTCAGGTGTGTACCAATCAAATTGATATGATTTAAGTCATTTTGGAATTTCATTAGTTGAATTTCAGTTGTTCGCCCTGTAGTGTGGCCAATTTTTTACTTCAAATCTCCTCTTCCTGCAGGTTGGGGATCATGAAGACATTATCTTATGTGTGAAATACACTTCTCCAAAAAAAATTATGAACCACCGGAAACTATCCAAAAATTGGACCCCACACTTTCTTTATGGAAAATAGCTTTCGGTTAAATTCCCTGAATTTTTGGTATGATGTAGATTTTGACTTCCTTAGCAAAAGTGGCCATGGACACAAGGAAATCGGGTGACTATTTTTCGAGATAGAGGGGACAAAGATGAAAAGTGAAGCTATCTGCTCAGAATTTTAAACAACTCCGAGAATTGACAAAACGGCCATTGATTCGTGGAATAACATGCCTGAATGATGGAACAATGTCATCTGGATCTCGTATCCATTATAATTTTACGTTTTGGGCTCTACAACAGGATGAACAAAGAAAAATCCAATTCGATTAATTTTAAACCAACCATGGTAAGTTCCAGGAATTGACGTACCCCTATTTTCGAACCACCCTGTATATATAAAAAAAATTCAGTAAACTTTGATCGAGATTGAGGAAGTTCGTCAAGGCTTCAATTGGATATTTAATTCTCATGAAAGAACTTACCCTGGTTGGTTTAAAATTAATCGAATTGGATTTTTCTTCAGTCACCCTGTTGTAGAGCTCAAAACGTTGAATTATAATGGATACAAGATCCAGATGACATTGTACCATCATTTCACACACATGAAAAAATGGCCATTTTGTCAATTCTCGGAGTTGTTAGAAATTCTGAGCAGACAGCTTCACTTTTCATCTTTGACCCCCTGTATCTCGAAAACTAGTCACCCGATTTCTTTATGCCCATGTACACTTTTGCTAAGGAAGTCAAAATCTACATCATACCAAAAATTCTAGGAATTTAACCGAAAGCCATTTTCCATAAGGAAAGTGCGGGGTCCTTTGAGATAGACTTTTGTCAACAGTAAAAACACAGTAATTTTACGAGAAAAACTGACATGTCAGTTTTTCGAGGGAAATAACTGATGGAGAATGTTTGAGTACTACAGGGTACTACAAATTTCATGAAAAAACACGATGGAATATATAGCTACACCCGGTATGCATGAAATAAAGGTTTTTATGCAAATACCGTTTGCACACCAATGTTCTGCAGAAAATAACCTGTCATATTGAGGTAAATGTTGCCCAAACTTTCGACTACTTTTTGGTGGAGTAAGTGACGTAAGTGTAGATATGAAAAAAAAACGAATCCAAGTAAGATCGATCATTTTATTATAAGCAGATGAGTTGTTCACGAAATCTCCAAAAATATTCAGTTTATGGGTTGTGATTTATTTTCGTCGAAAATCCTGAAATAAGAATGGAAGTTGAGTGTGTTCCTAACCCAACATGTCAATTCCCAATGTGCATATTTGAAGTCATTGAAAAGAAGTGATACGGATTTTTTTTTTCGCCATGAGTGACCAGATTTTTTTTTCCAAAATTCAAATTTCTTCTTATTGAACTACTGCCAAAAATTGACTTCACATTATTTTCCTTCCTATGAATACTGTCACCCGAATTCTGAGACACTCTGTTTGTTGCAAATGCACCGTTTCAAATAATCATAATACTGTGAAAATTGCTTCATCATTAAATGGAAAAATATGACCCTTTTATTTCAATTGAAATATCAAATTACTCGTACAGCTTTCATCGAGATTTTACTTTTAATGAACCAACTTGTGCTTCTCGTATTAGATAAAAAGAAAACGATACAAATAAATGGAAAAACTTTATATTGGCAATGCCCACAGCGCCTAATATCTGAGGAAATAAAAGAATGAGTGATACTTCCTCTCGACAACAAACAAAAAGAAACAGCAAAATATAGCTAGAAGTGTTTGGTTGTACGAGGATATTCAAAAGTTCACTACTCAAGAAAACATGAAATATAATATACCTAATCAACAAGTTTCGTATTAAATACTGTCTGTAGGTTAATCGACGAGATGGTACATCCCAGAAAATCTGGAATAATGAAGTTTCGTATTGATAATATTCTCCTGTTACAGTTATGATTCGCAGTTCTTCTCTGTTTTTCCAGGCCTCCTATAGAATTTCTGGAAAACAGCTTCGATTTTGTGAGGGAGTGTTTGAAAGATTGTTGGGCCGAAAATCCAGACGACAGACCAGACTTCAAAGGTGTCAGAACCAAGTTGAGACCACTAAGAAAAGGCATGTGAGTGAATAATTTCCATCGAATCATACTAAATCACTTGAAAGTTTTTGTTTTTCTTCAGGAAACCGAATATCTTCGATAATATGATGGCTATGATGGAAAAGTATGCGAATAATTTAGAAGTGTTAGTTGACGAGAGGACAGACCAGTTACAAGAAGAGAAGAAGAAGACTGGTATTTTATACATCAGCTTTGTCAGATCACCATGAGAATGTTTCAATGTTTACGATAGGAATCTTCGACTTACATCAATCCGATTTCATTTTTTATATAAAATGCGGAGAAATTAATGCTTTGAAAAATTCTACAAATTGGTACAACTTGATTCGTTTCACGATCCTGAGCAACTCTTATGATGATCTGAGACTCATTAATGATACTTTTCTCTTTTATACTCAAGTTCAGCTGATTATTCTATCTAGATTTCTTTTTCAAGATGCTTTATTATACGAAATGTTGCCAAAACCAGTGGCGGACCAGTTGAAGAAGGGTAACAAAGTGGAAGCCGAAAGTTTCGATTGTGTCACTATTTATTTCAGCGATATAGTAGGATTTACCAAGATGTCTGCTGAAAGTACACCTTTACAAGTGAGTTCTTTTTAGCGATTTCCAGTACATTAGATTCATCGTTACATAATATTGTCCTATAAAGAACGATGAGCAAACCTATTGGGATGTAGTTCTCTCTTAGACTGCCAGGATTTCATAAATTTTATATTGCAGACAGACTCTAAAGATTTTCAATCACGTGAAAACCCATAAACGTGTTTGTTCGTAGACTTTAGAGTTCACATATATTCCAGTCCACGAAATAACTTTATATCATCCGTAAGAGGATTGAATGGAATGAGCGGAATACGAAAATTACATTCATTTACTTTTTCATAATTGAATGAGTACATGTATTCAGTCGAAAATGTCTTCTCAAGGTCATGATGATAGTATATATGGCATTGGTAAAATGGTCTGCTCAAAAAAATAATAATTACCTATACTTTTGAAAATCATTCAAACAATAGTTGTATTCTGATAGGATCGGAAACTATTTTTTGATAAACTAATGATTTTTAGGTAGTTGATTTTTTGAATGATCTGTATACATGTTTCGATTCAATCATAGAAAACTATGATGTCTACAAGGTCGAAACTATAGGGGATGCATACATGGTGGTGAGTATTTCAAATTGAAAAAAAATGTTTAAAATAACTCACTTCTAAACTTCCAATGAATGAATGAATGAATCAATTTCAGGTAAGTGGTCTCCCAATCAAAAATAATGATCAACATGCCGCTGAAATTGCATCAATGTCTTTGCACCTACTCTCGAAGGTCAAAAACTTTATAATAAGGCACAGACCTGCAGAAAATTTGATGCTGAGGATCGGCATCCATTCAGGTAGGTGAAGAAATAATATCGTCTGCACAGATGGTCCAGGATTACTTAGAACTCCTTCCTCTTTAGTTTCATTCATTTATAGTTGAACTGTTCGACCAGGTTGAAGCCAACTATAGAGAACAGGGAACTGAGTATAACTACTATAAAACAAATTTTCATAGGCATAGGCAAGAACTTAGCTGAGATAAAAAGATTGAATCGCAGATATGAAAGAGAATGGAAGATATCTGGCTGATTATTTGATGAATTATTGTATATAAAACACATGTTATGAAGACGAGAATATTTCGAAATTTCTTGTAGGATCACTTGAAGATTCCTGGAGCCACTGTCTCTTGAAATAATTCTTCGTATAATTCGGATTTATCATGGATATTCATTCTTTTTAGGTCCTGTATGTGCAGGGGTTGTAGGCCTGAAAATGCCTAGATTCTGTTTATTTGGAGACACAGTCAACACAGCTAGCAGAATGGAATCAACTGGTGAAGGTAAGTATCCGTAATAGTAATTTTCCTAACAAGTGCGGAAAGTTATTCTTTCCCGCACGCGACTGCCGTTGACACGAACGACGCGAAGCGGAGGGCGATCATCTGGCATTTACTTGACCACTCTGCGGATGATCACTTGACTTAGACCTTCAACTTTGACCTCACTTCGTTAATAAATTCACTATAAACTCTCTTTTCAAACTTTTGTTCATCTCTTCACGCCGTTCTGATCTATTCTCCAAGTGCCGTCAAGTACTCAATAACAAACTCACTTTTATATGCATTATTCTCAGAAAATAATTCAGATTCGTAACAAAAAGTTCATTCACATAATATTGCTCCGTACAAAATCTTAACTTTGCCTCGTAATAAGCATTCAATGGAGAAATTTCCGAGTTCCTAAACCTTATTGTTAGCTGTATCGATTTGAAAATTATCTTCTACTTCCTAAGTGCACTATTCGTTCTCGTGATAATTATAATATTGGTTGAGTCCCAGCATTCATCACAACAATAACTCCGTTTACAAATGTTAAAACTTCACAAACAATAAGATTTCCACCAAAATTCTCAAACACACGACATGTTTCGCTAACACAGTAGCTTCGTCTGGTGATATACTGGTACGATGAACTAAACTAACCTTGGCTTGCTTATATATCCTACTTTCCCAACCTGAAGGATTAGTTACCTGTGGACAGGTTCGATAAACTTCCATTTTTGGAAATTAGGCACAATATCTACATTAAAATACGGTGTACCGGATTAACTTGAAAGGGTTGATATCAAAAACATATTATTACTTACTAAGAAAACAAATTCAACAGTGGTGAACCATTGAGGTCTAATTGATCGTAAATGTATTGAAGTACAAGGGCAACAATTTGAACATCTAAAAACTTAATGTTTTGTTCTAATTAATCATATTTTTCATCATACCATTAAAATGTAATTGTTGAAGTATTTATCATTGTTTTTGCAAAAGTAACTCTGGCGCTTTTTGAATAATTTGTGTGCATTGTCGGCTTTTAGATGCATTTGTACTGGAACCACTGCTTCTAGCGACTTGGACAAGGTATACCTTTCTTAAGTATAAAAGAAGGGATAAAGATTTTTTTCCGTCGAAAATGACATATGGTGTACAGCAAAAAAGTTACGACCGATTCAATAGGGATGGAACCCTGTATGTAGCGCCCTCTATCAGTCATCACAAAACTAAGATCATATTTGAATTTAGCATGATAAAAAAACCCTGTATACCACATTTTACCCATTTCTTGCGTCTCTGGCTAGAGATATTCAAAGAAAACCCAAAAAAAAATTAAATTCAACACCCCGTATCTTTTAACCGATGGCACTATGCAATGTACTTTTTTCTATGTCACCCAGTATGAACAAGCCAAGGTTAGTTCAGTTCATCGTACCTGTATATCAACTTACGAAGCTATACTGGCTATATTCCGAATTCAACTGACAGTACTGAATCTACTGATTTTTCATTCCGAAATCAAAAAAAATCAATGAATGTGACAGATGCTTGTGAGCAGATATAGTATTCATTCCAAATATTTCGACTCAACATTCTGCTGAAATTGCTGAGTATCAAAAGGTAGTGTGGCTTCAGTAAACTGTCATTATTTTAGAGGAGGAAGGAATGTAACATTTATTTCCGTTGTTAATTATATTATTTTCGATATTAGAAAATATCCGTTATCGAAATAATAAACGCTGAGAATTTAATATAGAGATTATATAGAGTATGAAGTAGAAGAGAGGTGACGAAAGAAAAAGCAGCATTGGGTAAATGAATATCTAAATAAACCTGAAATGTTTCCTGAATTCATCATCATTGATGCCATATTACATAAATGTCCAAGAATTCTTCATCACTCGAGCTTGAATCGTCATCGTCAACAATCGAAGAAACTATGAAGGCTACAAGAACCGATTGTTCTTTCATGTTAAATATTATATTTCCAAAATGTATGTCAAGCAGGAGGCTAAATGATCTAGTTCAGATAAACGAGATACTACATACTGAAAAATTTCACCAGCTGATCAACTGCTGCTGACTACTGATCATAGTGGAAAGAGAAGATGGTGTGCCTACGCGCATATTATGTGACGTCATCTGGGATACCAATATCAGCTGCTAGTCACAGACAGATACCGTTGCCATGGGCGTGCGCAATGAATTCAATCATGTTTATTGAAATTTCTATAAGTTTCTCGATCTGTTTAGAAATAATTCAATTTATATAAACAGGTACTTATTCCTTCGATTTTACTATTTCATTGATTATGGAAATTGTGATCTTGAGGTAATTCGCAACCGCAAATAGCAAATACATACGAATCATCATGCATTATTGCCAATCCCATCTGAATGATCCACTACTGTGTCGATTCTGACAGATTAAAATTCAGCAGTTAACGACGTTGACGTTGCTTCTGCTCCGACATCGACAACAGGAGTATCAATTTTTGCCGTTTTGTTATTCAAATCTTTGCTGCAATTTATATTTTGTGATAAATTAAGAGTTTTGAATTCATTTTCAAATATTTCTGACTTGATATTCGGAAGATGTTCTGTAGGAATGGCATCTTGTTTCAAATATTTGTGATTTTCTTGGGGTGTGTGATTCAAGAACCGTACTTTTGCACTTGTTTGGAAAAATTTTGCATGGAAATGTATCGAAGAAATACGTGCTGTAATAAGAATTCCATGATAATTGATAGGTGAATACTTTGGAATGAGGATATAAGGCAGCAAGCTCCCATCATTTCATTAGGTCTTGGAAAAGCAGAAAAATTAAATATCTATGTCTTTTGTATGTTAGTTGCAATTTCCATAACCAGAAAAGGAACAAGTAGGCATTTCGAAATTATTTCATTCAATTTTAGTACTTATATAATATCTGAAGTTCGAGACATCAATCACGAAAACAAATAATAACAATGACAGTTATATCCCAGCTGACGTCATGCGCAGAACAAGACGCGTTTGAGCTTTCTGTTGAGCACACCATCTTCTCCTTCCACTATGCTACTGATGAAAACCATGAAAACGTGTTCCGAATTAAAGCACTGAATTTTTGATTTTATATTTCGGAACACATATTTTCAGCAGAGTCAGTGGATCTGCTGACAGTACTGACCAGTTGAATTCGGAATATAGCCTATGTGTTAGCGAAACATGTCGTGTGTTTGAGAATTTTGTTGCAATCTTATCGTTTGTGAAGTTTTTACATTCGCCATAGATTTCCGAGTCAATTCAAAATCCGTTTACGAACCTTCCAGCTCTGAAAATCCACTGCAGCCAAGCCTGCAGAGACCTCCTGACGAAAATCGGCGGGTACCACCTGGTGGAAAGAGGCTTGGTGCCCATGAAGGGCAAAGGCGACCAGCAAACCTACTGGCTGCTAGGGGAGGAGCCCCACCAGAGGCTGCGGCGCAAGGAAGACAGGGAACGCAAAAGGATCGAGTCCGACGGCAGGAACATCAAGATGGCGCAGGTGGACGGCAACGGGCAGTCGGTGATGACCAGGAGCTCGCTGAAGAACAAGAACAGCATCATCAGGAGCCCTTTGCCGAGGTGTTCGTCCTTTGAGAGCCCGAAGCGTCTGAGGTAGGACTTGTTCACTGTGTATGGTGAACTGATCTCGAAAATATAGATAGATCTGACACTTTGGTTGTGCGATTTGGAAAATGTACATTGGAGGTGACGTTTGAAGTTGCGAGTTGATGCTTCTCAAAGAAGTTTTCAATTCATTTCTTCCTGTTCTGGAGTACCTAACCGGGATATCGCTCGACGAGGATCTTGTGAATACCCCTATAACAGCCATATAACTGAATCATTCTTTCATTTGAATTCAGACCAGGGAAGAGACCTTCTTATCGTCATATCTATCTTGATATGAAAAAATAGATATAAAAACAGTATTGACGTTTGTTGCGAACAGCCCTACAAATCTAAATTTGGTCAAAATGTCGAAATAGTCTCTATTTTATGGACAATCTGAGACTTCTGAACTTTGATTGATCACCCTCGGTCATAATCAACTGCATTTTGAAGAAGCTGATCCTCATGAACCTCGGTTTTTTTCCGAAAGTCTTGATGTTTCGTTATCTAATAATGACAGACACGATTGAAGGGTGTATCAGATCTCTGGCGTTTTGACCAATGCACACACCTAAGTATTCAACTTGTGGAGATCATACTAACTCATGGCTATCCAGGATTAATCTGGATCTGGGAGGTCTCCGCTCCTTCCCTTTTTATCTACTCCATATCAACGATATTTACCCTCCATAACGCCTTCTTTTCCAGGGCTCCAATACCAGCCAGGCAAATCAGAAACGAACGAGGGAGAAATGTTGACAAAATAAATATGGACTTGGCAACAATTCTCGAATGGGGATCCAATAACTTGGTAGATTTCAATGCAAACAAAACACAAGCATGTCTTTTCTCTAGAAAAGCCGATCTCACTGTGCCCAACATAAGCTTGTCAGGAGTAACCATACCTTTGAAGACATCCATTTCGATGCTTGGTATTACTGTCAGCAATAACCTTTCTTGTGAAAATCACGTGAGATCAATTGGTAGAAGTGCATACCAAAAACTTGGTTTTCTGTTTCGGGCCAGGAGCTATTTCACTTTCAGTCAGCTGCTTATGATCTATAAGGCACAGATCCGGCCTGTCCTGGAATACTGTTCGTATAATTGGAGTGCAGCACCCAAACATACCCTGAAACTGTTGGATTCTGTCCAAAAAAGGGCAATTCGTCTCGTGAGTGATGCCTCGCTATCAAACTCACTCACTTCTCTGGAACACCGTAGAAAAGTTGGCGATCTGGCTCTATTTAATAAATATTTTCTTGGACGATGCTCTTATGAAATATCAACAATTGTTCCTCCCTTGGCAGTCCCCGCGAGATTAACCCGTCGAGTTGAGGCTTTGCACCCCTTCGTGGTCACTTTGGAGACCTGCAGAACACCTCTTTCCAAAGACTCGTTTGTCCAACGAACAGCGAGGCTGTGGAACACATTGTCAAAGGAGGTGTTCCCCGAGTCATATAACCTCCAGAAATTTAAGAAGAATGCCAATTCCTACCTTATTTCACTTGGTTCTCATGATGTTTTCATTACAGGACATCCCTTCTCGTGGGAACCAAAACAGAAAAAAATGTGAGAGGAAGTACTCCTGTAGAGAATTCTGCGCGCTTCAAAGCTGCTTGCTCAAAATTTGTTGATTATTATGCAAGAACTGCCGTATTATCAGCAAAAATTGATTTCTTGCACATCACTGGCCTTGATGAATCACTAGTAAATAGACAACTGCGATAAAACTGCACCATGAGAAACACCAGAGCTTCAAAATGGGCATGATACCAGATTGTTGATCATCCAGTTTCACTCGCAAAGTTTGATTTTTCAGAAATGTAAACCATATATATGATTACTTTACTTATACAAGGGTGTGAAGATTTCAAGACAAAAATAATTGTACCCAACAAATATATGTTCCTAGGGCATTATTATTTGATGAACCTTCACAAACAGGACTAACTACCATCTGAGTCGATCCATCTTGCAGTGGAGTGAAGATAATAGAGCAGGAAGAAAATCTCACAGTCAATAATGTTGGAATTCTTTTGATATAAAACATTTTTTGAAAAAAATTCCTCGATGATTTTCATACTAATTTTTTGACGAAGGTGATCCGCAGTTAATTGCGGTCCCTGTTTTGCTAAACGTTTCAATGTTTTAATTTGTAATAATATGTAAACCGTAAGTTTTTTTGTTTTCAACATGTGAATTTTCCCCAGAACAGTACTTCCTGTAACAATGTTGCTGATGATGAAGCTTTGAAGCTTCGAAACATGTCCCAATTTTCAATTCAAATAAAGTATAGTTTTGGTGGAGTTGACTGTAAGATTTTCTTCCTGCCCTAGGACTCACTACTTTGAAAATCTTTTAATCATTTCAGGTTTGCGAGCGGCGACAATTTGGAAAAGAAGAACGGTTTCGCGCTGGACGTGATATCCGACAGCCCCCACAAAAAATCTGCCAACTCCCTTACGGAAACTCTCCACGAGTGTTGCAGCGACCCCTGGAAGACATCTAGCACCTCCTGTCCCTGCATAGAAAACCTGGCAAACTCCGCTGCCACTCTGGCCCAATCACAGCTGCCCATAGTGACTGATAATTTCGCGAAATTCTCCAAACCTTCGCACAACAGTGTGCCAACGTTGTGTTTGTGTGTTCCCTCTGTAGGTCGTGTTCATACCTCTGCTCCATCTAGTCCCAGAAAACGTGATAGGTTGTTGTATCAGGAATGCGAGGAGGCGTTCCCCTGTTTGGATTGCACGCCTTTGCTGAAGATAACCCAGCCTCCTGAGTCCGAAACATCGTGTGTTTGATAGTTTACACATTTTGATATCTGATGTACCGTCAATCGCGGGGCTATATCGGACGATAATTTTAATCATATGCCAGTATTTCATTTGTTATACGAAATTTAAGCTAACTTATGCATTATATGGCAAGAAGTTGACCTACTGAACATATTTACATTAAAAACTTTCGAAAGTTGGCACGGTTATTTAAAAAAAAAACGTACTCCGATATACCCAGGGATTTGGGGTAATATCAGAAGCTTTGATTTTTGCGCTGAAAAAGTACGTTTTGAGACTGGTATTTGATATAGGTTTGGTCAAAACCCTTTATCGGACGATTTTATACGAAAAAAAAATTGAAAATTGCCATACAGGGTACAGGGTGATGTAGGTAGTAAAAGTGAAAGTATACAATCGTTATAATGCAAATCAACATCTTTATCCATAGAAAAAAATTGTGAGAGCAACAATAATTAAAAAAGGAAAAATAAATTACACATTTGATAAGAAACCGGAAAAATAAAATCTGGAAATAATGAAAATTCAAGTCAAAACTTATATATTATTATATCTTATTCGATATATAATACCCCTGAAATACGTGTTTTGCTGATTTCGATTTGTTAGGTAAAGGAAAGACGCAAGATGATTTTTGAACTCATGAAGGTCTTGAGGAGACTGAAAACAAATCTTAATATCCCACTGAAGTATACAGGGTTCACAAAACAGCAGAAGACAGTATTTGGCTATCTCAATTTTAGCGAAAACTATGTCTTAAATGATTATTTTTTGTGAGCTAACCTTAAATTTATGATCGAGCGTGAAACGCATGTACGACTGCAGTCGTACCATGGAAGGATATCTGTCAATCTAGGATATTTTTATTTACTGCGTCAAGCTGTCATCGCAGTTGTAGCCAATGAATTCAATATAAACACCATCCGATATAGGCATGGTTGACGGTACCTATCACATCACATTCATGTCACACCACGTGACTGGGATCGAATCTCATTCAACATCAAAATTGATCGTTTCCATGGTTATCTCAAAAGGAATCGCCTCTCGCTTTGTTACCTTGTCAGACATGAATACGATATCCTAAAGATGTTTGTATTTACTGGGGTAGATTATCTTTGAGATGTTTATAGGGTGATATGGTGTTCGTAATTGTTATCAGAGCTTTATTCAGTTACCTAATAGGTTACATGGGTCAAAACTTATTGATAGTTAGGTAGGAAATACTACAAACGTCTAGCTAGACCAGTTAATCTTCAAACATCGAGGTCAAGTGACGTCATACCCACAATTTCTTATTCTATATATTGAGAATCTACGAACAAGCGATAGCGTTTGTGTATATGACTTCCACGGTGGTGACTGGGGTCCAATTTTTCAGAAATATACTTTTCAGGAAAACGGTTCATTTAGGACAAGTTAGGGGAAAAGTTTTATACTCTCCTTTTTCATGCAGATGAGATATGTTCCTTCCTCATATAAACACGAATAAACTTCTGATAACCTTGAGGTTTGAAAGATTTACTTTTCTAGCTAGACGCTTGTGGAAATACTCTTGTGATTCCAGTTGACTTAAAATTATATGGTTTTTGATGGCAAAAATGATGGAAAAGATGAATTATCTATTATAGCTGTGACCCATATCCACCGATAAACTCTCCGCTGATGGTCTTCACCAATAAGTGTTCAATCTTGTTAAGTACTTATGGTATTTATATCGATTAGAGCCGATTAGAAGTACCTAGTGTGATCTAATTATTTTCTTCCTGGGTACTTGGGAAGACAAAATATTCTAGGAAAATATTGCTAATGAATTCACCTATACATACACATATACCAACCCACAACTCTTATAACCATAGAATGTGGATATCCCAGGTTTTCAATGATGAGCAGGTACATTTTCCATATTTTGCGTTTTCTTCCAAGTTTTCTGGAATGGAAATAATTTGTGATATAATAATGTTTTGGGATATATAAGTTGGTATATTCATCGAGTTTTTTTGCTGAATCAGTCATCGGTGTTCAATAAGTAGGTAGGTACCTATTTTCTTCTAATTGTCTCTATGGAAATAAAATAGTCAATTTTCTGTATTATATGTATATGCAAATGATACGTTATCTCTAGTCATTTTTTTGTTTCATAGTTTACTTAATTTGTTAAAACAGGTCTATAAAGTTTAATTTTCAAGTTTTCATTGTTCTGTGAATTTGGTCATCAACAATAAGCCAATAAACCTTCAAAAAAAATTGAAACTAATTAAAATTGTTCGATAGGTAGGTACAGGCGGTACTTCAAAGATGCCAGAATTTGTTGGAGGAATTGGTATATATAAGAGCTAGTTTAATAATGTCGAGGATTTGTGTAATCATTTCATAAAAAAATTTAGCACCCAAAAATATCACATTTTCTTGGAAAGGCTCGTGTTCTTCAATTAATTTGTATGGCTACTTATTTATGTACCCCTTATAAAAAAAATACAGAGTAACAATAAATAAATGTGTTTATTTTAGTACAATCCATATTGTTGAATGTATGATTCGATTACCTAGAGTAGGTCGTACTTCGATCGTGATGTTTTTCATGTGTACTTGAGTAGGTACTTTCGTGATTATTTTGTCTGTACATGTATATGTTCTCATACTGGGTGTCCCAGATCTTTTCATACAGCCAATATCTCAGTTATGCTGCTTGGAGAAAAATTTAAAAAAACTACACTTATATCAAACCCGTATGACTTGAACCTATTGTGTTAAAGTCAACTTCACACTACTTCTGAGAAACTACACCTAACCTCAAATTTGCAAAGTGGCACCCTATAATTTTTTTTTTCTGAATTGTGAACTGCAGTCAATGGGCTTATATCACAAAAAAAAATGTATTTTATAATTCGATAGAACTCACCCAAACTAGCTCACCACCGCAAAACATCTGCTGCTGTAAGCTCCCTACGTTTTATAAAAAATTATTGAAATCCCCGATTTTTCGGACCTCTGAAAAAGAGGCGATGATGTGACGTCAAAACCCTAATACTGAAACAAGACTATTCCAGACAGAGATGAATGATACATGATTTCTGACAGAGTGAATTAGCGCGAGATCACAGTTGAAAGAATTAATATATCAGTTGCCTCAGTCTCCGTCGGGCGTTTGGTATTTTCTTCTAACTATGGCGAGATGAGGTTTCTACGTCATAAGAGGGTCCGTTTTCAGAATGGTACTATTATTTATGTCCAAAAATAAAATATTATTCCAGTTAATTTTTCGATCGAATTATGACGTCAATCATTATTTATGTATAAAAGGATCATCATAAATATGGTTTGAGTTAAAAGTTTTACTGAGGTGTACACGCCCATTCTTACTTCAACGATGTATCACACATGATGTTTTGACAAGTTCAAGTGTAGTTTTTTCAATTTTGTTCCAAGCAGCATAACTGTGTGAAAAAATCTGGGACATCCGGTATATGGAGTTTTTTCGATTCGCGAAGTTTTTTTTAGTCAGGAGCAATGATTTCAATACACTTTATGTGTTTCCATCTATATGCTTATAGCTTATCTAATGATAATTGAAATACTGTGATGCTCATATCAAAGACAGATAGATATAGATTTATATACACGGAATTCAACAACGATTTAGAGTAACGCATAGGAGTTATGTGGAAGATTTTATGAAAATGATATCTGCATGAACTCCACCATCAGAGCTGTGTGTCAGCGTAGGACATTCACATATGATGTGGATGGGAGTCGTCGTTTCAGAGCCATAAACGGCACGTTGGCTCATATGAAATAGGTATCCAGAACGTTCAGGAAAACATAGTAGTTCGATACGATTTCCTCTCACTATTCCAGAAAGGTTTCGTTTGCAATCTGAAACCAACTGAGAGAACACTGATGGCTTGTTGCTCGTAAAGCTTTGAGAGTGACCTGACTGTAATAATCTTATATACAAAGTGAACTAATTTCGTGTGATGACTTCATGAGTAACTTTTTTTATTGGAAATCCCTTTTTTTTCGATTTTCGGATTTTTCTGATGAGCTGATTACAAAAAAGGATCAAAAGTTACTTGAAATTGGTACAGGTGAACAAAAATACAATAGTTTATGAAAATTTAAACAGAAGATCGATATGTATCAAGAATTTTCAATAGTTATTTTTCTTCTACTTGACACTTCAAAATCTTTTTTGTTCGGAAGATTGATTTTTTGACTTATTGATTATTAATGTCTAATTCGACAGTTATTGATTTGCAAAAATCATCAACTTCATTTTGCACTTTTTCCAAAGTAAGAACAGTTCATGAAATCCTAATTTGCACAAACTAAATAGAAAACAAATTCTATATGATGCGGACTTCAACGGTGACAATGTATATTGAAGTTCTTTTCACCCCACACTGTATACCTCCTATCGATATCGATATTAGTCATACTAGTTTAGGATTCAACCGGATGAAAGGATGACGTAACTTATTAGTCATTAGAATCAAACCAATCAGCCATCAGTCTCGTATTAGATTTCAACTCGTAGGGTTTATTCGAGTGATAAAAAATAGAACTCCATTTATTAAAAGTGAAACACTGAAATTTATCTCCGGTGTAGTGATTTTATTTTCACTTGAGTGCGTGAGAGTTGTCTCTTTTCAACATGGTAAGTGGGTTGATTGATTGTCTTTATTACATCAAGAAACATTATTGATTATAATAGAGATATATACAATAAAGCATACACATAACATAATAAATCGAGACAAGTATAATTACACAATTATTGTTTTTCATAAAGGAAATTATAATAAAACATAAAATGAAAATATTATAATACATTACAAGTAATCAAATTGTAAATGATTATAGTAGATATGGAATTGAAGTTTACTGAGCAGATATTTCTTTAATTTGATTTAAAATTTTTTTGCATTTTCTATTTTTTTCAACTCATTAGGTAAGGAATTATATAAAATTATTCCATTATGGAATATTGATTGTTTACCAAAGTTTGACTTATACTTACTTGCTATCAATAAATTAAATTGCCTTGTTTCATGGGCGTGAGTCGTATTAACTTCATTGAAATTCAAATTTGATATTTTCAATTCCTTTCTGACAAAATGAATGAAACAACAAATTTGGAGTTTATATAATGAAACTGAATTCAGAAAGTCTTTAGGTTTATTTAGATTCACAGTTGATTCTGAATTAGGTAAATTAAAAATGCACTTTCTTGTTTCATCTTGTAATTTCATGAGTGGCTTCAAACGTGAAATATTTGTACTTCCCGAAATAGATATAAGATATTGTAAATTTGAATGAAAAGACAGAAACAAATACTGTTTAGGTATCTAACAGGAATGACATTTCGAATTTTATTAGGATTAAATTTTTTCCTCGAATGATATTACATTTGTATATTCAATGGATTTGTTATTGCTGATGAGTATTCCGCATTTTGAATGACCTCAAATTTTTAGAAATTACAATGGCCTGAAAATTGAGGAAAAAAATTGAAATTGTTGAAATTTGATAATAAAATTTTGTGAAACAACCCACTTTATTTGTTATTTTTTCATACAAACTTCGAGTTTGAAGAAATTTCGAATCATTTTCAGAGACAAAACAATGCATGAACATCAAATTTGCGTGAATAAACATATTCTCATGAAATAACTTTTGAGACCGGAGGACTTGCTTTTTAAAAACAATTCTTTTATTCAAAATGGACAATGATACATGTGGATGATGTTAACGGTATAAAAACTAAGTTCTGACTGCCGGCTGAAGTGCATCTAGGAATAAGGTAGACTATTGTCTAGCTCAGCATCTTCTTCTTAGGCGATGGGGATAC